GACAAAAACTATTGGGGATATAAATGGAAAGAAAAAGTTGACACAAATCTAAAACCAACAATCACAACAATCTCAACTTTTAGTTGAGATTGTATAATGCATCATTTTTTGTGATTGTTGGTGGGACCTACATAAAACAATGCATGCATTGTTTTACACTTTGGCTCTTCCAAACATTGTATTGTGCACAATACATGTATTCAACAAACACAACTCTAACAAACACAACTCTATCACCCTTTTTTTTAACAAAAGAGGGTAGTACCTCCATTATCACTATTAATTTTTTTGTCCTGGATAATGGTAGAGATAAAAGTCAGAGAACTACAAGTAACCAAACGCGACGGTCGATAAATAGTGGAATTGTCAATGAAAGAGCATTGTTAGCGAGTAATGGGTTGTTCTATCGAATCTGCGAGGGTAAAAATACACTAGAAAAGTGAAAAAGTAGACACTGCCAATCGAATTCCCTCTAGAACCACACCACCTGATCTGTGAGACATCCTTCTTCCGTTGGCGGCGCACCAAGGTTTGGCAATCACCACAAAAAGTTCACAAGAGTGAGGCATGTAGAGTTGGTTGGTGTTAGATTATATATTAATCTAATTCAAAAGTTTCGGATCATTGGTGGTTACGAGTGTCCTCATAAATAAGAACAAACAAGTTTGAAATATCATACAAAAAATAAAAAATTTCAAATATTCATAAGATTAGTTTAATAGCATATGTCAATTGACACATTTTAAGATCCTTGCATATTTACGAAAATACAAATTGCATAAAGAGCCAAAACGCCAAAAAAGAGAGTAATAAACTAATAATACTACAAGAAGCATGCACATGACATTTGTCCATTCCTAGAGTCAACAACTTTTTTTCAAATCTTTGTGAACTTTTTAATCAATGGAAAAGGTTTAATATACCTGTATAGTCATAACTTTCACGATTTTGACAAATATAGTCACTTTTTGAAAAATACACAGACATAGCCACAGTTTTAAAAAATTATTGACTAATCTAGCCATTTCCCTCGAAACATCTAACCACGTTAGTGCCCCTGACAGTTAAGTGGACGGATAGCTGATATGTCCGCCACATGAAAGACACGTCACTGCCAACGAGACTGACTAAGCGACGTGGACGCCACATCAGATAATAAAAATAAAAATAATATTTTTTTATACGTCTCTATCTCCACCAACGAGTCTGACTAAACATTTCATTTCCCTTCCCCCTCAATTTATAGGGTTCCTCCTCTCCACTCCACCCCGTCGTTGATTCCTCCTTTCCACCATGCCGTCGATTCCTCTTCTCTATCGCCGACACCTCCTTCTGTTTTCATATCTGAGGCGCCCTTCTTCTCCAATAGGCACTCCCGACAGTAGCGACGGTGGCCATCTGAGGTACAATAGAAAAAATCCTTCCCGCTGGCTCAGTAAATCGGCAAAGCGGCGTGACGCTCGCTTCCCTTTCGTTTAGGATTCCATCGCGTTCTTCCTGAAATCTTTGGTGTCGCATCATTCTCCTGTCTTGGCTCGAGACAGATGAAATTGAGGCTCACATGCCCATTCTTTCTCTTGCCAAGTAGAGATTATTTTGGGACAAAACTAAATAAGGAAGCAGACAAAGAGGGTAGGTAAAGTCTTCCACTTCTTTGCTCATTTGCACAGAAATGCAACAAACTATATCTGGGTTTTTCAAGATAAAGCTCAAATATAAGATCTGGGTTTTTTCATCAAGGTTCAAACGAAGAAATTATTTATAACAGTCAGAGTTGGATGCAAATCTTTCGAGCTCCGCCTATTGAACCAGCGGGAGCAAAGTGGTCAACGGGCGAATTGGAAATGGTCGGCGAACGAAGTGGCCGGCGAACCTAGCTCTAGTTGTCTTCTTATTCCTCCTCTCTCCATTGTGTTTGTAGAATGAAAGAGAGAAGGCCCTGGATTTGAAAATCAAAATTGAATGAAGGAGGATTGGGGGTGGGATTTGGGGGATTTTTCCCCGTGGTGGAAAAGAAAAGGAAGGGACGGGATACGGTGACAACCCACTCCATAGCCCTTGGATACGCTCTCTCTTCTGTCTCTTTCTTCTTTTTTCAAATTAACGGTTAAGATTAAAGGAATGATATTTTTGGAAGGGAAAAAATTTACCACACCCAATCATTCACCTTACCATATAAATAGGAAAAAAAGCCCTAATGCCTTCATCCTCCTTCTCTCGCGCAGCCATCACCATCGCAGAGCCCTCCGCCGTCACAACCCTCCACCGCCGGCGTCAGCGCCCCTGTCTCCTGCAGCCGCCTGCCGAGCCCTCTATCGCCGCCGTCTCCCCCCATCCTCAGCCTCCCTCCACCCCCTGTTGTTGCAACTCTCTCCCGCCGGCTCGTCGCAACGTCCGCCTCCCACCACCGCGACACAATCATCCTCTTCCCGTCAGAGCCCTCTCGCCGCCGTTCGTTTCCCACCACTACCACCGTCGCGAGGTCACCCTCTCCCCTCTGCCTCTCTCTCCCTTCACCAACTCCCCTTTTCTAGATCTGGTTTTTTAGTGGTACCATTTTTCTTCTTGTAGCGTACCAGTAATAGTGGTACCTACCACTATCATCAGGTAGCTGGTAGTGGTAGCGTACCACCTATCATGTGGTACCACTATCATCTGATTTTTGTGTTATTCTCTACCGGTACCACTACCAGTGCTAGTGGTACGCTATCATTAGCATTGGTAGCGTACCACTAGCACTGGTAGTGCTACCACTAGAAAAAATCATTACCAGTAGACTAATGGACTGGTACACTTTTTAACGCACTGATACATTTTTTTCAGGTTGCCGGAGAAAGTCTGCCGGAGAGAATTTGCCGGAGAAAGTCTGTCGAAAGGATTTCACCGGAGAAAAAGTCTGTCGGTCGATGCGAAGTGACCGCTGGAGAAAGGAAGAGAGAGAGAGAGAGAAATATTAATGTATAGGATTTAAATTTCAAAAAAACTTGTATTTAATATGGGTTTTTAATTCTCAATGTAATGAATACAAAAACGGTAATTAATATATTCTTTTTTTCATATCCAAAACGCTCTTGGTTGTCACTGTATCCCGTTTCGAAAAGGAAGAAGAAGAAGACTAGAAGTTAATTCGACAGGGTAGATGGAACAGAAACGGAAGAAGAAAAAGTGAATTTTCATTTTCTTATTTTATTTATTTGGTTTTTTTCCAGGTAATTACAATAAAATATAGGTTAATTATCATAAATGGTAACAAAACTATTTACTTTGTACAAAATTGTCACAACCCTTTAATTTTGTACATTTCAGTAACATATGTTTGCACTAACGAAAAGGTAATTCCATCCAACTTCATCCAAAAGTCTGTTAATTTATTCCAATAAGCATGCCACGTCATCAAAAAATAATAATAATAAATCAATAAACCAAACCAATTATACCAACCAAGCCAAACTCAACCCCACCCAATAAATTATACCCAATAAATTACAAACCAATCCAAAATATGTTTCCCCTATCTGTAACCCTAATTCGAGAATCATCCTCACGATCCTATCCTCATATATCCAATCCAAAATCATCCACTCCGTCCATGAGAGAAGGCTCACAATAGCCCATATGTTTCCCTTGATCTCAGCCAAAGCATTTTCAAGCCTCTTCGTGGAGCCGCCGCCGTTTTTCACTTTCAGCTCGTACATGAGCCAGTCAACCTCCTTCTTTGTCAAAACTATCTTCACTTTCGTCCCGACGTCGGTTCCGCCGTTCATCGAAATATCCCCTGCCTTCTTGGAACCATTTCTTGTTTGGAGCTAAGCAGTTTCCCATGGCTCGCGGCTGACTTCTCGATCCGGGATGAAGAATAGAAGCTCGAAGGATCAAAACCCCACTTACCGCGAGGGACTGAAAGGAAGAGAGTTTCTACGGGGGGGAAATAAAGGAAAAGAGAGGGAGAAGAAGATATGTAGGTGAGGAAATTATGTTAAGGGAGTAAATTAAATGTCATCCACTCCATCCATAATAGAAGGCTCAGTACAATCTTTTGGATTGAGATATGGATTGGGATTGGATCGTGAGGATGATCCTCAGATTAGGGTTACAGAGTGAGAGGAAACATATTTTAGATTGTGTTTGGAAATTTATTGAGTATTATTTTTTGTGGGGTTGATTTTGGTTTGGTTGGGTATAATTGGTTTGGTTTATTGATTTTTTTATTATTATTTTATGATGACATGGCGTGTTGACTGGAATAAATTAACAGACTTTTGGATGGAGATGGACGGAATTACCTTTTTGTTATAAGTGCAAACATATGTTACTGAAACGTGCAATATTAAAAGTTTGTGACCGTTTTGTATAAAGTGAATAGTTTTGTTACCATTTATGATAATTACCCATAAAATAGAACATTTCCACCTCATATTGATTTTGACAAAAAGTAGCCACATCATCCAAAACCGTTTGTCTAATAGCAATTATGACACCACCGTTAAACTTTTGGACGGAATGACTCTATCTGTGTTTTTTTTTTTTAAATTTGACTATATTTGTCACAAAGTGGATAGTTATGACTATGCAAGTGTATTTACCCATGGAAGAATGGGACCATATTATGCATGATTTTATTATTTCGGATGTGCATAGGATCTGGAGCGGGTCAGCGTGCTACCCACCAACCCTAACCAAAAAGTGTGGGTTACTTGGATTTGGGCCATTCAGTTTTAGGTTATAAAAAGTTCCTCTCGATTTTAATTTCCCGAATGGGTTAGCGTTGAGTCAACAATTCAGGTCATAATTTGTGAGGACTAAATAGATTACTCGACTACTAAGAGAAAGCAATAAAATCATAAATTAATTACTTTTTGTGGTCTACTACGTTAAATTATTCATAAAAAAATATCTCTCCACTCTTTATAAAAAAAATTATCTCACCACTCAAACAATTCCACTTCTCTTAATGAGTTTTCATCTGACTCTATTCAATTGAAGACACAAATTCGAGAAAGATGGATGGATTAATGAATGTAAAAAAACTTGAAAATTTTGTGAAATCGCAACAAAATTCCTTCAAATCTCTTTTTCAAAGAAAGCAATCAGGCTCTTTCGCTCTTGCCGTCGATGAAGATTCGAAACCTGAATCCCCCAAAATCATTCCCCAACTCTCTCCTTTCGCGAATTCAGTCGTCGCTCGTTGTTCCAAGTAAAGTATTCGAAACTTGAAAACCTAAAATCTTCATTATATTTCACTTTTTATCGTGCAAAAAGGAGAAAACAAAAGAATATATCCCTTTTTATATGTATTGTTGCACGCATTTGTTTGGATCTGGTTCACATGTGTGCAAACATATGCAGACATGACCAAGCACATCCTATGCACATTCAAGGAAAGTTAGATTTTATTGTTTGTTGTTGTGAACTACCTACATTTATTTGAATTGTTAAATTTTACCATATCATACATTTCACTAGTTACATTGGTATCTAATTCATGAAATAACCTTTTATTGTTTTCGTGTTTGTTATATTGATCCACACATGTATGGTTTGTAGGGTTCTTGGTATTTCAACTCATGAGTTGCAACATCGTTTTGACATTGAACTCCCTGAGAGTGTCAAGCAACTTTTCACCTACGCTAGGAACTTCGTTGAATTTGTCTCCTACCAAACAATTGATGTCTTTACTACCCAACCTGATTTCTTGACTGACAAGGAATTTCGTCGCTTAACATACGATATGATGCTTGCTTGGGAGACTCCTTGTATCGAGTTCCACCTAGAAGAAAAGGTAATTATGCCACAAACATTATGAAAATTTGTGCTACATTTCCATGACACCAAATAGTATCTAAATGAATGGTGTATACTGTTTGTCTTCCTCCTTTTATGTTGGTTGAATCCCTATAACAGCATGAAACTTCACCTTCTGCTGGGAGTCAAGAAGAAGATGAGGATAGCCCATCACTGTTTTCTTCAAGCTCTACAAATATGGCCATTCAAGTAATTTTCAATCTTAATTTCCTCTTGCTTTTAGTATATCTTCTACTAAACCCCCTATGTACCAAGTTGCAGCACACGTTTGCAATATTTACATACAATATGTAACACTCGAGTAACATTCTAATTGATTTTTGTGACAGGTTGATGACGCCAAGACAGTTGGTCGAGAAGCTTTTGCCCGTATAGCTCCAGCTTGTGTTGCTATTGCCGATATAATAACAGTCCACAATCTGTTTGATGCTCTCACGAGCTCTACTTCAGGCCTAAAATTACACTTCCTCATATATGATAAATATCTTCACACCCTAGACAAGTATGACCTCAAAATTGATTCAGTTATCTAGCTTTAGTTGTTCATAGTGAGACATAGCTAAGCTAGCTACCGGTCTTGTGTTGTAACAGAAAACCCTTCTTTTCCACAGGAACATCAAAGCTACAAAACTCATACCAAAGCCTTCAACAAATAATGTTGAGCTTGACGATGGAGAGATTATCCTTGATGCTGATGGTACAATTCCTACTCAACCCGTTCTGCAACACATTGGAATCTCAGCATGGCCAGGTATTTGATGATACCATTCATCTCTATGACCCCATTAGCCAATTACTTTGTCTTCTATAAGTTGTTAACTTGTTATAACTTTCGTGTTCTGCTTCTGGTTTTCATCAACAGGGCGATTGATACTAACTAACTATGCTATCTACTTCGAATCATTGGGTGTTGCTTTATATGAGAAGGCTACGAGATATGATCTAGCCACAGACATGAAGCAGGTCATCAAACCCGATTTAACTGGTCCACTTGGTGCTCGTGTTTTCGATAAAGCCGTCATGTACAAATCAATAGCCAAGTATGTTATCTCAGATATAGCACAAAGCTCTCTTTTCTATCTTTATTTCTGCAATGCACCTTAACTAATAGTTCTATCTTGATAAAAATGAATATAAGCAGAAAAGAAAAATGACACATGTGATTACATGGTTTATCCGTCGTAAGGACGATACTACTTCATGGAAAGCTCCATATGGAGTTTTTGTTTTCTCTTATTAATGTTTTTTCACTTTGGAGAAGAATATACAATTTCTTAACAATGAAAGGACATATACATAGCTACTTCCTGCAATAGCTAGAGTTGAGACTAACCAATCACCATTGTCAGGGGCGGACCCACGGGTGTTTGGGACACCTCTAAATTTTGGGAAAACGATTATCCAACACCCGGTGGTAATTTACGTATTGAAAAAAAATTATAATTGATAGTCGGGGACACCCCTAAATTAAAAAAAGTGATTATCCTACTCTCATCTTTTAATTTGAGTATGAGAATATAAGTGGTAATTTGGGTAATTCAAACCTAGGACACTTTTATTAATTAATAAAGACAATTTCCATTAGGCTACAACTCATATGTTATTCGATTTTAAACACTGTGTAATAGTACAATGTCATTCTCTATCTCTAATTATTTTCAAAATCTAACAATTAAACAAATTTAAAGCTACCCTTAATTTGTATTGATTTATGGTTGTACGACAAGTGTTTAAAGAGTCTTTCCAGCTTTAGATTACATCGAGAACAAGTTTAGAAATCGAATATGTGATCACTTCGTGAATGATTGAATAATATGATATACAGAGACAATTTTTTTGAACAGGGTGGATCCCAAGTGAGTAAGGTATTTCTTATTTAAATATTATTTATTTTTATTAATTATCTTATAATTATTTGTATTTAATTTATTTTTTAAAAGAGGACACCCCTATGTAAAATTTCTGGGTCCGCCACTGACATTGTTCACAAATAAAAAATAAAGGGATAATACCACTAGGAAACCCGAACTATTAAGAATTTGTCATTTTTATCCTAAAGTATCCAATATGACATTTGTGTCCCAACCTTTTTTTTTTATAAGGGTGATATAGGTTTCTCTTTTTGTGATTAAGGTACTACTTAAGGGATTCGAACCTGAGACCTCCAGGTTCTAGACTAGTGGTATTACCACTAGACCAAGCCCTTGTTCGTTGTGTCCCAACCTATTAGTTTGTGCCATTTATGTCCCAACATATTATAGTTTTGTGTCATTTATGTCCTAACCCGAACTATTAAGAATGTGCCATGCAAAGTCACTGACACCCGTGACATTTCCTTTTTGTCCATACTCATAATGAATGTCACGATCTGACCTTAAGAGTCATGTTCGCCTAATATTAACAATTGATTAAAACACAATGCATGGTGGGTCTGTGCAACCTTCAACTTATTGAGTTTACTTTCGTTTGAGAGGGGGCGTGTAAGAGAGTGGTGTAGGATCCATAATAATATTGTCTTAGCAACTCGAGTTATTGGAACCAGCGGGTTTATGACATATCTCTCATTTTCAATGCATGCAGCTCAGATCCTGTGTATTTCGAATTCCCTGAATTCAAAGGGAACTCCCGACGAGACTACTGGCTGGATGTCTGCCTGGAGATCTTACATGCACACAGATTTATCAGAAGAAGTAACCTCAAAGAAGTTCAAGAGTTGGACATTCTTGCTAGGGCTTCTTTAGGCATCCTAAGATATCATGCAATACGTGAAGCTTTCTCCTTCTTCGCATCACAGTACAAGAGCCTCTTGGTGTTCAGCCTAGCTGAAAGTCTTCCCAAAGGAGACAAGATTTTGCATACTCTATTGAGTCGTATAACACTTCATAACACATCGTTGAATTCTGATGAATGTTCGAAGTTGTCGCCTACCAAAAGATCTGCTTCATCACCGCCTGCATTGTTAGCACTTAGTCGACTTGGGTTCACCTTAAGTAAGGGAGAATCATATCTTGAGGGAGTAAAGGCAGTTGTAGGAGACCTAATCGTTGGAGAGATAAACCCTTTAGAAGTAGTGGTGAAACAATCAATGCAGGCTATTGGAAAAGCTGAAGCTGCCCAAGCAACTGTAGACAAGGTCAAGGTGGAGGGCATTGACACGAATATTGCTGTGATGAAGGTTAGTAAATGATATTTTACTTTCTTGTCATACCAACAATCTTTGATAAAAGTTCATGTTCATAGAGTCAAGAAAAAAAAGTTATGAAACTGATATTAAATCATTTGGTGTTTCATTCATTGTAGGATCTGCTGTTTCCAGTTACTAAGATAGTAAATCGTATGAAAGTTTTGGCCTCATGGCGTGATCCTTTTAAGTCGATACTGTTTCTAGTTCTGGGTTGCTTTACTATTTTAAGGTAACCTCGATCATTACACGTTTCTTTATAACTGACAAGACGAGCTTGTTACTCACTTATGTGGCATTACTATATCCATATTCATTTAAGATCAATCCATACGGAATTTGGTAAAGAATAAAATTCGATAAACGTCTTGTTTGTAGCATGTGAGTTGTGACACAAACATCGTATTTACTTCATATATTTTTACTAACTAGAATTGAATCAAACAATACTGTTCTTTTGTAAACAAAAAGTGAAATGAAGTTAATATGGTTATCACAGAGGTTGGACAAGATATTTGGCTTCTTCCATCTTGATCTATGGTGCATTGTCCATATTTTGGCGAAGACACTTCAATAAGAAGAAGTCCTTAGAGCCCTTTAGGGTTACTGCTCCAGCCAACAAAAACGCTGTGGAACAATTGCTGACATTACAGGAGGCCATTGCACAAGTTGAAACATTGGTCCAAGATGGCAATGTCATTCTTCTAAAGATAAGAGCTCTTCTCTTCTCTATTCTCCCACAGGTAATTGCATAACTTCTTCTACCTGCATAACCTCTTATTGTATGATCCACATCAATTAGTTTCAATGTTTGGTTAACGCTTTACTTATTTGGTTGGCATGACAGGCAACAGAGAAACTTGCTATGATGCTAATTTTAGTAGCTATCATGCTGATGATTATACCTCTAAGGCATCTCATGTTGCTGGTGTTCCTAGAGACTTTTACCAGGGAAATGCCTTACAGGAAAGAAAGTAGTGATAGATGGGCGAGGAGGTTACGAGAATGGTGGATTAGAATCCCGGCAGCTCCAGTCCAGGTTGTTAAAGTTGATGATAAAAAGAAGAAATGAACGACTCTTAAGTATTTTCATTTTATGTCAACTGGAAATAGTGAAGCTAATTGATGAGGATCCTACAGAAGTTTAATTTTTAAAATACTGTGTGCGAGATGTGTAACCAACAGTAGAACAATGATTTATTTGTCTTTGAGATGAAAATGTAGCCACAAGTGTTTTTTTCCCCCAAGTAATGACAATATAGTTAGAAACAAGTTCAACCAAATAAAACCTCTACCAAGGGACCATTACAATGCCACATTTTATTGAAGTCACCCTACAAAATCAAAGAAAACTAATCATAAGGAAGACAATAACAGAGTTTTACATGTCGCTCTATAAACAACCTAGTTTGCGACCTGCTGGGCCGCCTTAAAATCTATACAATTATAGAGAGGAACAACTATTATTTGATGAATAATACTTGCCTTGTTATTGATTTATGAGCTAGCCAAGATACATTCTAATGAAACAATATCAATCAGCCATCTCCACGAACCGACAAGAAATCAATGCCTCCACCATTGACGAAAAAACAATGCTAGTCGACGAAGGAGGTACAGACGAGTTGAGCGCCTTACATCTTGAAAGAGAGGTTGTGTGCGATGGATGGGGTCGTGGGAGGCAATGTCGGGGAGAGGAGGAGGTTGGGTTTTGCACTTTTTTTTGTTAGTTTTTTTATGTTTGTGCTGAGTGATGAGAGAGGAATAAGTGAGTTTGATGATAAATTAAAGTAATATACATTTGTCATGTTATCATTTAACGGTTAGCTACGAAGGTTGACTGTTATGTATGATAAAGCTAACTGAAATGCACGGTGAGTGATCAATGATGTAATGAGGGTTTAAAGTTAGTGACCACTAATGCAATTAAAATTTTACAGTGACAAACACAAAATAAAATGATAAATCCAGTAACCAATCGTGCTATTTAGCTAAAGAAATATATAAACATGTATGAGTAATTACCAAGGACCCTCTATACGATATATCTTTCTACTTAGGCACATTGTTCGCAACATCTTGCACGTGCTAATATCCTAAATTGCTAATGTGTTAGATATTGCAAGGTCAAGCATTTATGTACATGGTACACCTAAATGAAGCATTTATGTATCTTAAGGGCAACTTAACTCCGAATGAAATCATAAACTTCTTTCTTAATAAATGATTTGGATGATTCCCGTATGAATATCTATTGTAATCGATCTATCTCTTGTTATTTATGTTTTTTTTTTAAATTGACAGTAGATAACTGATGAGCACGAGTTCCATAAAATTCACTTAAAAGTACATACTACATAAGTGTTTAGGGGGTAATTAAATTTAGTAACTAAAGATTATTTATAGACACACCATCATATAGCTAATTATTGTTTTATTTGTGAGAATTTATGTGGTTAAAAACAATAATATTCGACCAGCGGAAAATATAAGTACGAAAAACAGCAAATATTGGTTTCTTTCTCCTCGTCAACTCCCCGAGTTTGCTTTGCCAAAATTTGAAGAAGAATCTGCGTCGTTGTTCTTCTTTTTTGGGTGCTGGGTTTAACCTAGAAAGTTGGAAGCCTAGGGAGGCCGGACAGGAAAGAGTAATCTCAATTCAGCGTATTGATTACGAGCGAGGAAACGGGTGAGCGAGCGAGCGGCCAAGAAGATGGATTTGGATCAGTGGATTTCGAAGGTGAAGGAAGGGCAGCATCTTCTGGAAGACGAGCTCCAACTTCTCTGCGAATATGTAATCCATGGCTGTTCTCTTCCTACGCCATTTTCTTGTGCTTCTTTCTATCATTTCGCTATGCATCTTCTTCAATTGTTAGCAGAGTAACTTCACCCATGATTTGTCAGGCGGGATGAGAACTAGGGTTTCCCCCCTTTTTGGTGTTTTCTTCTTTCGATTCACATTGTCTCACAGCTCCCCTTCCCCAGCTCGGAGGACTCTGCTATAGAACGCACAGTCTATGTCGCTCTTTGTTGGTCCTTGGAAAAGAAACCCTAAGCCTAATCTTGCATCGCGCTGTGTTTCCATTACTGAAACTCATTTCTTTTTTCGCCACACTGTGGATTATGCTCTTCTTTATTCCCTTGGTCTTTTGATTCGCTCCAGTTTTACTTAGGAATTTCGATTTATCTTTATGTCGAACTTGCTTGTTGGTCGTATCCAGTTCACCGGTCTAACCAAGCCTGGACCTTTGCCTCCCTATCTTTTGCTTGCTTTCCAGTGAATTTGTCTAGTGAATCTGAAGGATTTGTGACACCTGAACCTAATTCTCAATGTTATTCAGCTTAACTATTTAGACACTTCAGGGGTTCAGCAAGCTGGATTTCCTTGTTATCCCAGATTTGAACTGGTTCCTGTAATGTGTACATCTTTTGCAATATGAAGTTTTCTCCCCCATCGTGAAGCTAAAGTTGATTGATTAAACATTTGTTCACTTGGTTGCAAACTACCCAGGTAAAAGAAATTCTGATTGAGGAATCCAATGTCCAGCCCGTCAACAGTCCTGTGACTGTCTGTGGTGATATTCATGGTCAGTTTCATGACCTTATGAAACTTTTCCAGACTGGAGGTCATGTTCCAGAGACAAATTATATATTTATGGTAATTTAATAATTTAACATTATTACTCCCCCCGCCTACCAACCCCAAAAAGTCAGTTCCGAGTTGTATTGTGTCGTCTTCTTGGAGTTGAACGCTGCTGATTCTTTTGGCAGGGAGACTTTGTGGACCGAGGTTATAATAGTCTTGAAGTTTTCACCATTCTTTTGCTTCTTAAAGCAAGGTATGCTTCTTCTTATCGCTCTATGGCAGAAGTTCTCTTGTCCCTTTTTTATTTTCCCTTGGCATGTTTTTGGTTCATTGTTCTTAAGAGGCGAAAGAACGAGAAGTGTAAACAGCCATCTGGTAGCTAGGCTCCCTTCCAGATGTTCCTGACTTGGCAAAGCAAAAACTGTTCATGCTTCATGTTCTTAGACGGAAAAGACCAGAAGTTACAGAAGCCCATGTGAATGTAGACTCTTCGTTATCTGAGATTGAGCTGGTTGTAGGTTGGAAAGACCATCCTGTTTAAACACTCCTTGTTTTATCTCGGAGGAATTTCTAGAAGACAGCAAGTTCATCAATTATAGATGGTGCATTTACTGCTTCATTGATGGTGTTTCGTGAGTTGAAATCTCAAAAGGTCCAAATGGTCATGCAGGTTTTGTAGTTTAGATGGATTTGTTACAAAGATGCCTTCGATACTTTTTTCCTAATAAAATCTCAAAGAATTGGTCTGTCCTCCCTTTCTAGTGAAGGAGGAGGATGTAAGGACATAACATATAAACCATTATTCCTTAACATGCAAGGATTGTTAATGGCTGGTCCTCTTCAGTTATTGTTTCCTTTCTTGTTTATTGCAAGTGATTATCAACCTTCTATCTCAAACTCTCAGTGTGAAGTTTGACATGAAGTAACATAATGTGCAACCATTGCTCCTCTTTATATCAATGTTGCTTGTGATCTTATATGAGCAGCTGGTATGACTCATCAGTTCAATAATTCTTCCCTCTGTGTATAGGTACCCAGCTAATATTACACTTCTGCGTGGAAATCACGAGAGCAGACAACTAACTCAGGTACTGTCTTGAATTCGTATCTGTCACTTCCTTCGAGTTATTTTTGTTCATCAACAGACATTTTGGGAGCACAAATTAGAATAGTAACCGTGCTCAAAAGTGTTCTCTCGTCGACCAAATATGTGGAGGAATCAATAGAAGTCTTATTTAAGGCACAAGAACAGCATTTTCTATTACCATTGTTCTCTTTGTTGATTTGCTTTTGGTTTGCTGTCCATGCTATGTAGGTCTTTTAAGTATGGGCTTGGAAAGTTAAGGTTATTGCACTTCCTACCTTCTCACTGCATATAGAGATTGTCCCCACTGAATCTCTAATCTATCTTTGCCTAAACCAGATAGTGCCTATGGGATAAATACGGTAGTGGCTAGTGACTGTTAAAACAAACCCCGACCCACCTTTGCCAAGACCAGATACATGTATAGAAAATAGGACCTAGTTCGAGCTGTCCAACAAGTCTTGCAACGGGGCTCCTTTCCATTTCAACTTCTTTTGCTCTTCCAGGGTGGCCTGCATTAATAATCTGCTTATTCTTTCCCGTAATCTGGAAAGTCCACAATGATTCAATCTTCAAATTTGTTATTCTGGGTTGCGACTACCTCTATCTTTCCCTTTTTTGGCGAATCTTTGATCTGTAATTCTTTTCTTGTTTTTCTTCTTCTTCTTTTTTTCTAGGTTTATGGGTTTTACGATGAGTGCCAGAGGAAGTATGGAAATGCCAATGCCTGGCGCTATTGTACAGATGTTTTTGATTATCTTACACTCTCAGCTATTATTGATGGCACTGTGAGACTCGTCTCCTTGTCTCTTTTCTTCTTAGTTATAAAATGTGACTTATGATACTTTCCTTTGGTGATGTTCTCTTAATCGTGAAATGTGTATGCCTTCGGGTTTCATCGTGCAGGTGCTGTGTGTCCATGGTGGTCTTTCTCCTGATGTCCGAACAATTGATCAGGTAGATCTCTTGGTTCGTCTCTGTTGTCAAAGCTAAAAACTTGTAAAATCTCAACATCCAAATATTTGGGTGTTGTATTTGGGACTCGTGTTCTTTTATATTTGATGTAGGATTGTGCCTCGGCATGGTGATTCTTGGTTCTATGCACCCTTACATTGAGTTGTGGTAGAATGGATGAAAAATCTCCAAAACTATTTTAGATATGAACATACTATGTAAGATTTGTTTGTCCGCTGCTTATCATAACTTCAGGCTCTGGGATTCTTTATTTAAATTTCAGAATGACTAGAGATCATAGTACTAGAAACGGAAGGATAGAGATCCTTGGCACGTAAGTGCAAGATGCATGCCTAAAGAACCCTAGGCAGAACTCACATTAGAATCATTGACTATGTACCAATGGATTGCTAAGCTTCCTTTTTTCATCTCAAGCAAATATCAACAATAGAAAGGGAGGTATGAATGATAAACCTTTTCCCTAATTGGCATATAATATAGTATGTGTTTTACCTGTAAGGTTTCTACTTTAGTCTTGGTATGTTATATAAATGGATCTTCCTTGCAAAAAGAAATGAACTTGCCATAGAGACATAGTACTTGATATGTGATAAGACAGCTTTCCCAAGTTAAAAGAGGCCGCCTTTCTGACTGCGCCTTGCCTGCCCATGGCAGAGGCAATGAATCTAGCATCTCATGCGGGCCTTTGGAAACTATTCTATTAATGAATCTGGTATGGATGAGCGTTGAACCTTCATGTTCTAAGATCTGCCTGGTGCAGCTTTCGCTAATGGAAATATGCCTAGCTCGTTGTTTCCTTAAGATTTTTGCTTGCAGCGGCCTGGTGGGAGCTTCTGGTTTACTGATATTGTCTTCCCCTGTTGCCTGATAGATAAGAATAATTGAACGGAATTGTGAAATTCCACATGAAGGACCTTTCTGTGATCTTATGTGGAGTGATCCTGAAGACATTGAAACATGGGCGGTTAGCCCCAGAGGAGCAGGTTGGCTTTTTGGGTCAAGGGTTACTTCTGAGGTACTGCGTAATCTTATCTTAATCTAACTGGTGTTTTGTACGACCAAATCTAACGATGTCCTACCCCTCTGTTTGTAGTTTAACCACATTAACAATCTTGACCTTGTTTGTCGGGCACACCAATTGGTACAAGAAGGCCTCAAATACATGTTTCAAGATAAAGGCTTAGTAACTGTAAGGATTTGAAATTTTCTTATCCTCGTTGTTTAGGTTAGTTGTATAGAGTCATGAAAATCATATGCTTCACTATTTTGCAGGTGTGGTCTGCGCCAAACTATTGTTACAGATGTGGGAATGTGGCTTCCATCTTGAGCTTCAATGAGAATATGGTGAGTGAACCTTGAATCCGGCTACTGGTTATTTTATTTTTTGTATCCATAGTGAAACCTTTATTTGGTCCTTACTCCTTAGAACTAGCCAAGAAATTTTATTTGTGTCTGGGTCTCTGTAGGAGAGAGAAGTGAAGTTTTTCACTGAAACGGAGGAGAATAATCAGATGAGAGGGCCAAGGACAGGTGTTCCGTATTTCTTATGATCGCTCCGATGCCCCAACTGCTGCACGCATACTTGTAAAATTTCATGGAGTATTATAACGTGACTGAAAAGGCTGAGAAGAGGGCCTTCATCATGTGGAGAAGCATAGCGCCAAAGCTCGGTCTGTCGGTCGGTTACATGTTTAGCAGTACAGGTACCACCTTTGATTTGCTAGGGGGTGGAAATTTGTCATCCACTTCTAGCCTACTGATTATGAGAAGGTACATTTAGGGTTTCCAAAGGGTCTGCAGTTGAAGAATTAGATGTCAGTGATTTATCAGTTTGTTCTTCTCCCCGATATGTACCTCATTTGTGTCTCCTCCCTTGTTGCAGAATGTTTGTTCTTTTTGTATCAGTTTGTTTCAATTAATTGTCAGTGCATCGTTCCAGACTTCCCAGACTGTTTTTTGGGTCCAGGTTCAGGCTACATGTAAACAGCACCAATCCGCCCAGCACCAGTTTGTGGAACTAACTATTTAGCCATTTATGCCTTGTTTCGCTGAGACAGAACAGATCGAGTTGATTAGATTTCAGGGTAGTAACCAAGGAAACGTTTTATCCTTTTTCTATTAAACATGGTCTCTGTTAAAACACGTACGTGGTGTTTATACTTTTACAGCCCAGAAGGTCAATTTAGCCTGGCTTTGTAGTGTTTTAAACGGATTTTACTAAGAACGATAACCATTCCACAGGTTATGATTTGCTCGGTTTTTTGCAGTAAAATTCATAGTCTTTCACGATAAGAACACATTGTCTTGAAATGATAAGGTTCCTTCCCCCTTCTTCTTGGTCTTTGAGTGTATGCCATGTCACATTCTTGATTTCAACTCCCTTTTAAGATTAAAACTAAAAAATGGACCCTTTTTTTTTCTGGAAGGAAAAGTATGTAAGAAAAGAATGGAGGGAGGAAGTGGAAACTCTTTTATTTCTCTCTTAAAAAAGCCTTGACCTTTTGGTTCCAGGGGTAAACAAGAAAGAAAGTGGACCTCTCGTCTCAATGATGGGGCCGGAGTTGGTTGGTCGTTTCCCTGCAGCATGCAAGAATCTTCCATCCCCATAAACAAATCGGTTCTAACCTTCAAGCTTATTCAGATGGAGCAGAGAGAACAGGTCTAATCAATGTTTAATCAAAGCTTTGATGCCGATTGGGACTGATTAACGACCTCCGCCGTCGCCGACTAGGATGCCGATCAGACCCAATTCCACCAGCCGGGCTGATTAAAACTCCCATAATGCCGGTTGAGGCCGACGGCCGCCTTACTCCGCCGTCGCCTCCTCCTCCCTCTTTCTCTGCCGCCATCAGTAGCAGTAGCAGTACTAGGGACTGGTTCTTTCCTTCTCCTTCCAATTTTGTCCACCACCACCAATCGCCGCCGGAATTCCCTCGCGCCCGCAGCCGGCGGTTCTCCACAATCCCAAACAGGACATCTCCCAGTTCCACTCCTCCTCCGCCTCCTTATGCAACCCGCCGCCGCCGTGTCGTCTACTTCCCTCACCATCTCTCCCCCAAGCCGGAGCAGCAGCAGGCCCTTCCTGTTCCTCTTCCGCAGCCGCCACCGCCGGTTGACTCTAACGCTGACCGCCCCGCCCCCAAGAAGAAACATCTTCTTCAACACGGCACTTACTTTGAGCTTCTCCGCCTAGCTCTAATCCGATGGCACTTCGCCATTTCTGCGTCGGTGCGCCTCCCTCTTTCTCCGTAGATAGATTCTCCTTTAAGAGGAAGGATATGCCTATTGATTGTTTGTTTAATTGTTTTGCAGTTTCTGATAGCTGCTCTCGCTTCTCTGCTCCACAAGAATCTCTCATTGCGGAACCAGGTCGTTGACTTGCAGGTAACTGTTCGTTTCTTCGAAGTCAACTGAGCAGATGGTCCTGAAATTGCATAATCTGATAATTTGGCCATACGCTTCACAGGATGAAATTGCAAGACTTAACATTGGGTTACTGGCCTGCAATGTATCTTCCTCAATCGATTTCCGGTTACTGGAAACGGCGGCGGTTGATCTTTACGCCGGTCAAGGGTTAAAACATTTGTCTCTAATTGCCTCACTTGCCTTGTTATCGATCCCACTTCTCGTTTTCAAGTACATTGATCTCGTCTCAAAATCGAGAAGTTCAGATGCTGCTTCAGAAGAAGTTTCTTTGAGCAAACAGCTTGCTTATAGAGTGGATGTCTTTTTATCAGTGCATCCTTATTCTAAGCCACTGGCACTGCTAGTTGCCACATTGCTGCTAATCATTCTTGGAGGATTGGCGCTCTTCGGTGTTACCAGCGATGGCTTAGCTGATTGTCTATGGTTGTCGTGGACCTATGTCGCTGATTCGGGCAACCATGCTGACTCTGAAGGTATTGGGCCGAGGCTTGTTTCTGTTTCTATTAGCTTTGGGGGCATGCTTGTATTTGCAATGATGCTTGGACTTGTATCGGATGCCATCTCTGAGAAGTTCGATTCGTTGAGGAAGGGAAGAAGTGAAGTAGTTGAGCAGAACCACACCCTTATTCTTGGATGGAGTGATAAGTTGGTAAGAGGCCTGTTTCCCTCAGCTTTATTTTGTATCCGGGACCCGAGTAATGCTCTCACTTGTTGTTTGCTGGAACTAGGGTTCACTGCTGAATCAGCTTGCAATTGCGAATGAGAGTTTAGGTGGGGGGACTGTGGTAGTAATGGCTGAACGAGACAAAGAAGAGATGGAATTGGACATTGGGAAAATGGAGTTTGACTTCAAAGGGACCTCTGTTATATGCAGAAGTGGGAGCCCCTTGATTTTGGCTGACCTCAAAAAGGTTTGTGGACTCAACTCTTCAGCTTCAGTGACATGGTTGAACTCTGCTGCAAGTTGATCTATGAAGCATCTGAAAATGTAGCTGCTTGTTTCAGATCTTTGGTTGTGCTATGAATATAGGACTAATGAAATCGTTGCACTCGGCGAGTCAAGAGTTAATTTCATATTGAAATATATTTAAAGTGAATGGTTCTATGGTGGCTATTCTGTCACAACCTAGGGAGTGGTTTTCCGTTGGTATCTAACATCTTTGAAGCTTCCAGGTATCTGTTTCCAAAGCCCGTGCCATTATTGTACTTGCTGAGGATGGAAATGCTGACCAGGTCTAGTTCAAATCAGAGATGGATGAGATTTCATTATTCCTTTTTGGCCATATTTAATCACCACCTTATTTCATGGTCTGGTACAGAGTGATGCTCGTGCATTGAGAACAGTCTTGAGTCTAACAGGAGTGAAAGAAGGGCTGAAGGGCCATATTGTGGTGGAATTAAGTGATCTTGACAATGAGGTCCTTGTGAAACTTGTTGGTGGGGAACTTGTGGAGACTGTTGTCGCTCATGATGTAATTGGCCGTCTCATGATTCAATGTGCTCGGCAACCAGGACTGGCACAGGTTAAAGTTTTAGAACAATAATTGCTATTGCTCTTTTATGTTGGATTAGATAAGGTTTCCTACGTGGTTTTCTTGCTGAATTTTTACTGATGGTCTGTACCAGATTTGGGAAGACATCCTTGGCTTTGAAAATTGTGAATTTTACATCCAAAAATGGCCGCAGTTAGATGGCATGCAATTTGAGGATGTCTTGATCAGCTTTCCTGATGCTATACCTTGTGGGGTCAAGGTTGCTTCATGTGGTGGTAAGATTGTATTGAATCCTGATGATTCATATGCTCTGCAAGAAGGCGACGAAGTGCTTGTTATAGCAGAAGATGATGATAGTTATGCTCCAGCAGCATTACCTACGGTGCTTTCATCTTCCTCTCGATAAACACTTTCAGTTGAAGGGTCGTCTTTCCTTCGGAAGCTCATTTTCTCCAATGCATGGCCTTTATGATTTTTGCATGGAATCTGATCTTTGCATTACTCACCAAACTAAACTTGCACTTCAACTCTAATTTCACCTGAAAGAACGGTAGCAAATAAAGAAGAAGGGTAAACTGGAGCTATAAAGATATGTTATTTATGAAGATGTCTTTGATTTGGAAGAGACCAAGTTGTTTGACAAAGTTAGGTTTAAAAGGGCCGGAGGAGAATATGGTGACTGAATTCACAAGTAAGCATAACAGATTGGATTACATAAAGAAAAATGATGACTAGATTGCTCTGGAGTTCATGGTGTTATTTGGCTCAGTTTCTTGTCCAAAGTGAAAATGTTTCACCTGACTGGGTTATGTTGAATGTCAACTCACCTTAACTGTTTTGAGTCTTACAAGAAATCTTGACAGGCATGCGCATAATCTACTTGTTAATTTAGGATTTGCCAGGCTGTACTTCCTTTAGGACATGGTTTGGGACAATGTGAGTGATAAAACTAAAATGAGTACAAATCATTGATGCAGGTCAAAGAAGTAGCATTAGAGAAAATTGGCAAACACTAATTATAAAACTTACACCATAGCAAATTTCATCATTCAGGTCAAAGAAGCATCATTTGTAAACGTTGATCGATCAACAAGAAAGCCACAGACGATTCTACTTTGTGGATGGAGGAGGGACATTGATGATATGATTGTGGTAAGTTCTTTCTTTGTAGCCCCTAATTCTTTCTTCTCTTCACCTGAATGCTGCAGGTGTGGAGGGGAAGTCTGCCCAAAGACTTCGTTGTACCAAAGTCTGCAGAAAGGATACTACTTTGTGGTTGGAGAAGAGATATGGAAGATATTATAATGGTAAATGCTAAGGCAATTCTGCAATCATTCTGATGAACCTCTTGGTGCCAACAAAGTGGTGGTAGAATGTTTCAGGATGTCTCGTGCTGTTACTGAAGTCCCACTTTTGGTTATAATGATATTCTAGGCCTGGATGTTTATGTCTGATGGATTTTTAGATTATTTCCTTTCTTCCTTTGCGACCGGAGATGTATATTATTAACCAATGCTTATATAGGTGTTGGATGCGTTTCTTGCACCGTGTTCTGAGCTCTGGATGTTCAATGATGTTCCTGAAAATGAGAGGGAGAAGAAGCTTATCGATGGTGGTCTTGACCTCAGCAGGTTGGTGAATATATCATTGGTCAACCGAGAAGGCAATGCAGTTATCAGGCGTCACTTGGAAAGCCTTCCCCTAGAATCTTTCGATTCGGTAAGTTAGGTGGCACGAATCTAGAAGAGAGGGCTTTTTCAGGTGTCCGTTCATGTACTTTTTTGCAGTTATGCTCATGATCTTAGTTGAAAGATTATCTCTGTCTTCTGTTTGTGACAGATTTTAATTTTGGCCGACGAGTCAGTCGAGGATTCAGCTATTCAAGCTGATTCTAGATCTCTAGCCACGTTATTGTTGATTCGTGATATTCAGGTACGTTTGAAAATCCTAATCAACCATGGATGAATAGTTTATTCATTGGTGAAACTTTGCTGCTCTCGAGATGGCATATTCAGACCCGCTGGTGTCTTGATTCTTGGCAGGCAAAGCGGCTCCCATACAGAGAAGCAATGGTGACATCAGTTCAGAGAGGGAGCTTCTCACAGGGATCTTGGATAGGAGAGATGCAACAGGCTTCTGATAAATCAGTTATCATCAGTGAGATTCTGGACCCAAGGACCAAAAACCTACTATCCATGTCGAAGATCAGCGACTACGTTTTGTCGAACGAGCTTGTCAGCATGGCGCTGGCAATGGTTGCGGAGGATCGTCAGATCAATCATGTGCTCGAAGAGCTATTCGCGGAGGAGGTATGAAATTCTCTCTGTCCTTATTCCTGTTAGAAAATAAGGATTTGATTTAAACTGTTGTACCGTACTAAGTATAACAGATGACTTCCACATCAAGTCTAGTATCATCAAGGACAAGAACAATTAAGTAAAACTTATATAACAAGTTTCATCATGATTGTTGACTTATGGTTCAGAGTAGTGAGATCCACGCTAGTAAGGAATACGAGTCTGGTCGTGTACACATAACCAGTGCAGATCTAGTACATAATTATCGTAATACTACTCGTAGTTTAACGATTCCGTCGTAACATTTTTGGTTTCGAGGTGTTGTTGACAGGGAAACGAGTTGCAGATAAGAGAAGCTGATCTTTACCTGCGTGAAGGAGAAGAGCTGAGCTTCTATGAGATAATGTTGAGAGCTCGGCAGAGGAAAGAGATCGTGATCGGATACCGTTTATGTAACGCGGAAAGAGCTGTTATCAATCCGCCGGCTAAGGCGGAGAGACGGAGGTGGTCGGTGAAAGATATGTTTGTCGTAATTGCAGAGAAGGAATAGAAGGAATTATTGTTCTTTTTCTTAGAGAAAAGAAAAGCCTCAAACATGCTATATCGTCTCATTCAAAATACAAATTTGTTACATGGGCATGTGTAAAATTCTAGTTAATTTTTGTTTGTATATAATGGCCATGTCACTAAGATAGCAAAAAATACTTCAGAATTTTTGGATATCAAATTTTGAGTAATTTTGCTTTTGGGTAGTGTTGGGTACGCGAGAGAAAATAGATATTCAATTTTAGTGCAATTTTTTTGTTATGAACAAATCGAAAGATGGAAACACCAACATTAAATGTGATTAGGTTGAAGGCAGTTAGTGGGATGGTCTATGGTGCCTTTTTGTGCGTACGATTATCTGGATTCAAATTGGTTGACTCAAATTCGATTGAGTTCAAACTTAAACCAAACTCATTAAAAGTGCATATGACATCGTTTGGGTTGGACCCAATATCAAAATTGATCATGACAGTTGAGTCAAATTATTCAATGAGTCAACCCATTATCATTCCTACATATCTTATCTGTTATTACACTCAAATATGGTTTAACGTATGTACCTGATCCCATCGATATAGTGTGACAGTCAGCTAAGATAGTACGAAAAGAAAAAACAATTCAACGATATGAGCTTGTGCCTTCATATTAAGGTAAGATAAAAAGGATCGAGATGTAAAGGGGATTAACTTTTCAAGTGTAGAGGAAAAACCAAATGCGAAAGAGGGGACGGGCAGAACATGGCGCCGCCGTAACTGAACAAATTGGCACGACGCTGTGTTGAATTGGGGTCCATTTTAAGCTTTGCAGAAGAGCGCAATCATTTCAAACACGGCAAGGATAAATGGTCCACTCAAGCGCAAATCACTGCGACCTGCCGACCTTATAAGGTTAAGTTTCTTGGCGTCCTTTTCTTTTCCTATACCTGTCCCCTCTTTCTTCTGCTCCCTCAAAATTAACTGTGTCAAAAAAAACTTCTGTATATGCATTCAAAATGGTCTTTATCTCTCACCGAAAGCTGGCCAAAAATAGACATAAGAAATTATACCTCTGATGTGCGTATGTATTTCACTGTCTATCACACTTAATTCTCCATTTACCGCTATAAATGATTCCCAAAGAAAACTATGATTTGTCCCCACATACCACTCGTCAACTCAACCGTAATTGCTATAACTAATCTCGCATCATGCACAGTGTATTTTAGTTTGTTCAAGAAAAAATCGTTCAGAAACACGATAAAATCGGAGAAAACTCAATTTAAAACCCCTGTAGAAACGGATTATTGTTTGACAATCCTATTCAAAACACATAATTGATACATTGGAGGAGAGATTGAAAGTCACATGGAGGGTGGGTATGGGTGGGGGATCCTTGCTATCACTTTCTTTCGTTGTTTTTCTCTATTTTTTTTGTTTACAAAAACACTTCATACCGTTATTGTTTAGATTTATCCTCTTGTTTTCTAGCTTCACCTTCACCCTCCCTATACTTTTGCCTCAACGATCGACTTTGACTATTTACAGTTCACTATTTAACCCGGCAGGAACTGCACTTTCTTCTATTGCTTCTTTCATTTTGAATCAAAAGTGCGCTCCCAACGTCTTACCTTACCAATCCCCGTGAATCCCCTTCCTCCTTCACAGGCTCCCAACATTCATTCCCCTTCCACCCTTCTGCGCAAATAAAAACCCTCCCCACAGCTTGGAATTCCTTCTTCCTCTCCCACCATGTGCAGCATCCACTACTACATTCCCCTGACAGAGATCCAGCACTAAAGCGACCAAGCTCAAAAGCAGAAACCATAAAGGTACAGTCTTTCTTCTTCCTTCCTTTACATTCCCCATCATCACACCTTCATCTCTACGTTAAGCAACCCAGTCCAAAATGGAACACCATGATCGGTTGTAGCTTTCTCTGTTTCAGGTTGTATCCAGACAGATCATGCAGCAGTTCCTGACGACCAACCTCTTGTCCCTGCTGCTGCTATGCAGCCACCTCGTTCTGAACAATGCTGATGCAGGGTCAGACAAGGGAGCTCTCCTCGGCTTCAAATCCGGAATTTTGAAAGACACGACCGGAATCCTCTCCACCTGGGTAGCAACCACTGACCATTGCACGGAATGGGAAGGCGTGCAGTGCGATCCGACCACCGGAAGGGTGACTTCTCTGCTCATACAGGCGCCGCCGGACGGCTACATGGAGGGAACTCTGTCGCCTTCTCTCGGCGGGCTGACGTCGCTGGAGGTTCTTGTCATCACCGGGACGAAGCACATTGCAGGTCCAATCCCTCCTGCAATCTCCAACCTCACCAGGCTGAGTCAGTTGATCATCGAGGACTCTGCGCTCGCCGGCGCCATCCCTCCGAGCATAGGCCGGCTGACTCGTCTGGCATCCGTCTCCCTTGCCGGAAACCGCCTCAGTGGTTCGATTCCTCCGTCCATTTGGGATCTCCCCAACCTCCAGCTACTCGGGTTAGCTCGAAACTCCCTCACCGGCGCAGTTCTTGTCCCAAAATCGTCCCGCCGTCCAATTCTGCAGTCCATCGATCTCAGCCACAACTTGATTTCCGGCCAAATCCCTACCGCATTCCGAAACCTCACCTTTCTCGACCTCTCGTACAACCGCTTCACAGGCCAGCTCCCACCGTCTCTGTTCACTCTGCAGAATCTACAGGATCTCTCACTGGACCATAACCAGCTCTCTGGGAAGCTTCCTGCCAGCATGGCCGGACTGAAATCGCTTGCTCGTCTCTCCCTGAGCTCCAACCGGTTTTCCGGAGGAATTCCACCTTCCATTTCAACTCTGCAGAAGCTTTGGTACCTCAATCTGTCCAGCAACGGATTCTCCGGCCAATTGCCGGGCATTGCAGGTCTGCCCTCGTTGGTGTCGATAGATCTGTCCTTCAACAACCTAAGTTTAGGGACGGTGCCTAACTGGATTAAGGACAGGCAGCTCTCCGACGTCCGACTAACTGGCTGTGGACTGAAGGGAAGACTTCCGGTGTTCAGTCGACCGGACTCTCTCATGTCTCTTGATCTCTCCCGTAACTCATTCGAATTGGGAATCTCCGGCTTCCTGACCAACGCCTCCAGCTTGCAGAGCCTCGATCTCTCCGGCAACCAGCTTACATTCGACCTCAAGGAGATTACATTGCCGCCGGGGATCTCTTCCGTTCAACTCGGGTCTAACCGCATCACCGGCTCACTCTCTGCAATACTCAACAACAACAGCAGCAGAATAAGCTTTCTGGAAGTTCTGAACGTGTCGAGGAATCGGATCTCGGGGCCCATACCGGATTCAATCACGAATCTGACCGGACTGAAGAGACTGGATGTATCGAGGAACAGAGTATCCGGAACACTTCCGGCGAGCTTGGGGAAGCTCATCGATCTTCAGTGGATTGACGTGTCCGTCAACTTATTGGCCGGCAAAATCCCGAGTAGCTTGCTGGGAGTGAAGCGGCTGAGACATGCCAACTTTAGGGCCAACAGACTCTGCGGAGAGATTCCACAAGGGAGGCCTTACAACATCTTTCCGGCGAGCGCTTATGCTCACAACCTCTGCCTCTGCGGTAAACCTCTGCCGCCGTGCCGGGTGAGGAAATGAAGATATCGGCCAGCGATCGTGCTGACTAGATGAGAAAGTAAACATATTACTGTTAGCTTGAAACAGCTGATTTAATGGAGGCAAACCAACCTTAGTTACCCCATTGCTATAGATTGTAGTAGCTTCTCTTTTACCTGCGAGATATAAAGCAGTATTCTTTTGCTGTGATGGAACAACATTCTTGCACGAGATTTTTAGGGATAACCATATACTAACCACCATTGCCATAATTGGTACAAGCAAAACCCGCATTCCGATTGGTTGAGGTAGAACAAGAACCAACAGCAACTTATACCCAATTCAGCACACATGATAAACTAAAGATGATACCAAAACCTGCTTCTTCAAGATATGAATCACAGTAACCAGCATTGCACTCGCATGATAAACTAATGATGACAACAAAACCTGCTTCTTCAAGATAAGGATCAACCAGCATTTAACACTAACAAACTAGCTACATTGAGAAAGGACCCACAAGCCAACCACCCAACTAAACTACATGAGCTGAGTGACATAGAGAACATTTACAAAAGAAGCGCTAAAGCATGAGAAATTATGTAGTAGATACTACTCTGAACCAGATTCATCTTCTACCCCATCCTTTGCAGCATCTTCCTTATTTGGGTCCTCTTCCTCCTCCTTTGTGTCCTCTTCATCATCCTGGATAATCAGATATCACATCCATGTTGAGACAAATGTCAGAGAATTTGAATAATAATTCACAACCTTGTACAAACGAGGTTCAACGAGTCTTTTGAAGAAACAATACTCACATCTTCACCCTCCTTATCTGCTGCAGCTCCATTTTCAGCATCGTTGCTATCACCAGAGGTCTTTCCATGTTCAGCCTTAAGCTGAGCAGCCTTATCCAAGTAAGGTTTCTTCTCCTAAGACAAGTTAGGAGAGAACATGAGCAACAATGTGCACAATTATACTATTGGGTATTATCACTTGTACAGTTCTGGATAGAGGACAGCATTAGACTTACTTCATCGGTCATGGATTTCCACTTCTCGCCAGCTTCCTTGGCGATCTAGACATTAAGGATGCAAAGAAAATGAAAAGGCACATCAGTTACCGACAAAAAAAAACCCATAACTCATGTACAAGAAAAGGAAGCATAAGATTTTCAATCAACCTTCTTAACATCCCTAGAGTCAGGATTTGCTTCCTTGTATTCTTTCCTGAAGGCACCACTGGTGAAACACAAAGGTAATCAATAAGGTAATTCTGAGAAACCAAGAGCCAAACTGAGACTAGAAGGGAGTGGATTAAAGCATTACTGACATGAAGATGAAAAAGGCAGTAGGAGGGCGTTTGGGCTTATTTGGATCTTTGGCAGCCCGTTTCTCTTTCTTGGCTCTCTTTGCCTTCGGATCTTCCACTTCCCCAGTGTTCCTGTTCCATACCCAACTCTTTAAACAACCTAAAAGAGACTCTCACAAACAAACAGATAGCTGACTAGCTAAAACAAATTACCTTTCGACTGCCTTCTTCTTCGTAGTCTTAACATCAGCGGCGTTTTCAAGGACTTGAGCCTCTACACATCAGAGGATGGGGACTAAGGTTAGTACGGATTGTACCAGGCGATGAAGACGACAAAGAAAAAGGGTGAAAGAAGAATGGACGTGCGTACTAGAGCTTAGAAAACCGACCTAAGTTCATCTTGATTTTGGCGTCAAGGCTGCAACTATGCATACCGATGAGCGCCACAGCCACGTCCTTCTTGCACTCTTCACTGAGGTATTTCCACGAACACCACATATGCCCAACCAGTCCGTCCATGAATTAGCGAGAAATATTTAACGGAGTAAGAACAAAAAGCACACCCTTGGGTCAAGAAACTGGTTTACCATCTGGTAAATGCGCTGCCGTCCCTGGCGCGAACCATGGAAGCAGCAGAAGCACCATTGTCGGCCTCCACCCTCTTCCTTGCTTTCGTTGGGTTCGACTTAATGCTGCCACCTCCCGCCATTCCGACCTGATTCAAGGTAATCGACGAGCGAAAACGGGAAGAGAGCGGATGGGATGGCTTTTCAGGATTAGGGTTTGTGCGTTTCTTCCTTGAGTAAGAAACCTCTGCCTGCCAATTGAAGAAATGGACGAGCCATCGTCACTACCGGGGCTTTAAGTCGAATTTCTTTTGGCGGTAAGCAGAAGAGAAACCGGGAAATTGAAAACACCCTAATTTTTCCTTTTTTGCAGCATTGGCGCTTCCGTTGCGCGCCAATTGGTTCTTTTGGAGGGAAAGACACTGTCGTTTCACTTTCTCCAGGAAAAGGGCGATCGCGCACTTTGGGGTTTGGGGAAAGTAAGGGTCCAGCCCGTCAGAATTTTCTAAAGTAGCCCAAGGTTGAGCCCAGCCTACACTTCCACAAGCGGCCGACCAAGACGTCCATATTTTGGGCCCACATCGTCAGCCTCTTTGGGCCTTCAGTACAATCCAGTCATGAACATAGCTCCCTCAAAGGACATCATAACAACCATCGCAAGCACAGAGAGAACCGCCAAAAAATATATATCATCAACACAAGGCATTGAAGGCATCATAAGGCAACAGTCTACGAGGCATCAAGTAAAATCAGGAACATGCACCTAAGGAAGATTGGAAAGAACCACAATATAAACTCACACCCAATTGTTTATCAGGACAAAGCAACACACATTCTCTGGGATATAAAGCAAGACTCTTAACTGCAGCTGACTTTTGACATTTGTATCCATCAGCATGCATTGTTGAAGCTGTTGGTTTATTTCTCTAGGAACAGGAAACAAATGTTATCCCCAACAAAAGTAGAGGCACATGATGAAAATTACCAAGGACTAGAGCGTATGGGGAATACAAGTTAGTTACTTTCATGAGTCTCTTTTGCTTCTAGTGGATCAAAGTGACACTGCTCACATAGGTCACGTAAGAACGCTGCCTTGCTATCTACCACCTCGAAATCACAACCCCCGGAACTGCTTGCAGAAGCCATTTACAGTGAACTTCTTGCTTCACATTGCCATTTCTATTAGGATTTAGGACCCTCTGACTCCATTAAGGTCTAGACTTAAAAGGCATCCACCATTACATGTTTGATTCACATTTGTATTTCAGCATTTGGTCATCCGTAATTAACAATAGAGCTTTCAAAGAGAAATGTTATCCACTTCTAGCCAGAATTATCTTGCAACTTATCAATGCAATTCCAAGGTATATATGTATCACAAGAAGAAACCAAATCAGTCCATCAAGTTCTCTAAAGCATATATTACCAAGTTACTCTCTTTCTCGGATCAGATTTGCAAAGCACCTGATGAACTGATGTAGAATGTGTCAACTGAATACCTCCTACTCCCATAGATATTTGAATAAAGCACCGGTCTTGATTGGAGAAAGGTAGCAGAACACTGCATACATCCAAGATCACACAGATGAACTCTAATGATCCTTTTGAAGCAAAGCCAATTGAAGGATTAAGTTTTTCAGCTGCATTTACAAATGATTTCATTTTTCTGCACTTGATACTTGCACCTCTCTAGCTTTAGTGTCATTGAATATCTTAGTGGAAGTCCACGTTGGCTGATTTAGAGTACTTTCTCCCATCGCAGCAAGCAAGATCATAATGACAATCCTCTAGGCATCAAAGAAGGACTCCACTCCATTCGTTTGCTTCTCGGTACCTTCAACATCTCCTTAACCACATTTTCCCCTTCTGTGACAAGTGAATCGCATCCTTGGTAAGGGTCAGAACATTTTCTAGGCCAACTTATGTAAAGCAAGTTGTGGTTTAAAGAGCAGAGTAAAGATCAGAAACCTTCACTTCCAATTCCTTCTACAGCTTTATACATGCATCTAAGTGCTTTCTGCAGAGTTCATTCGTCCTAACTAGCTTGCCGAAGTATGCACTGGTATGAAAAGCAAAGGGGAAAATCTGATTGCATAGTTATGTCGAACAGAAGCAATTGAATTTGTGAAGTATCAGATTGACGATAACTTACCAAATGCTGAAACGAACTCTGACCTCATCAATCGGGGGACAACTTATGAAGAATTGCTCATATTGTCTGCGGAAGGCTCCAGCATTAAATGGGATTGAAGGTGAAAATTCCTTCGGGCGAGAACTGCAACCTCTTTTTGCATCAGAAAACCAGCAAAATTATATATACCGCCCGGATAAACAAACAAAGTAAAAACCATTCTCAAGTTCAAACAACAGTCAGCGAAGACAGGAGCAGTAAGGTAGCAGAATGATTACGAGTATTTCATATACATCTAGGAAAATGTTATCAACCACATGAACTGCACGCCTGCAATGCTTTTCACACTCTCAAAGTAAAAACCAATTGGGAAGACTTTTGGGTGCGTGCATCAAAATATCCCAAGTTATGAAAAAGTAAACATACACGAAAGTTCATTTCTATAGGGTAGATTCCAAAGTTGTTCCCCAAAATTAACAAGTTTGATGTCTTGGAACGCTAATTTCACCCTGTTCTATGCAAATCTCAAACTTGGAAAGAGTACCTTATACTCCCTTTGAACTAACAAACACAGCAGCAGCACCAATTACCTTTGTATTGACATGATTCATGATCCCGAAAATTCAAAACAATTTCACATATCAAAATAGGACATCAATAACGATGAAGCATGCAAATTCACCTAATAGGAAGACGCAACAATTCCATCAAGAATATCATCCTCGAATGGATGGATTACCTTCTGCTTCCACATCTAGGAAGACACCACCTCTCTTCTCTCTTCCCTTAACTGTAGGTTTTTGTATGCTCCCACATCTTCATTCTCCTTGTCCCCGCATGGATATATATGCCCCTTTCGACAAAGACTTGCCCAAGAAAACTATAGAATGAGCAAAGTATTCTTAGTAGTTTAGTACCTAGTTATTTCATCTGCTGAACCATTCCATCGCATATAATCTCCCTATGTCAGAGAGTGAACCCCCAAGCAATCCTCTTCGTGAGTTTCCCTTACGAAAAAGTAAAACAGCAAGAAGAAAGGTTCACTGGATGTTTATCTTTCGAATCAACATCTTACTTCTTGGAACAGATATATCAATCACCTCCAAGTTCCGGAGAACCGTGGAGACAAAAGGTGAGATTATGAGGCAAGTTTAGTTAAGTAGCCGAATTTCATAATCAACTGAACAAAGAAGGATTACCCATACTAGTAATTACCAAAAGGATTCCAACATCCCCAAAACAGTCTCTAAAGAGGACCGGCTTAGAAGACCGATTCTGTCCTCCCCCACTTTATAATCAAATCCGGAAAAGAGAAGGGCTGCAAACATAAAATCAGGCGACCACACGGTGAACAAGCCAATCCAAAGCGTAAAGTAGAAACCTCAAAGAAAATTAGCATCACTCAACAACCATAAGCATAAAAAAGTTTCTTGCGTCCAACGCAATCGCAGCTCTAACCTTCTAGGATCCCCGAGTAACCAGACCTTTCACACTGCATTGCAACATTTTTGTCAAGAATACAGAAGGGGAACCAGTAACACTATCCCAATTGAAGTCTCGAGCCTAAAGATAACGATATGTGAAAGACCCTTTGTTTCTAGAGGCAACATGAGCGATCATGGGAAAATCGAGTGGACCTTTCACTTCGGAAGATGCGAGGATTCTCGCTTGAAGCCCACAGAAGCCCTAAAGATCCACAGAGAGAAGAAAGAGGACGGAACAAGCAAGTAGCAATGCCGATAAGAAACTGAACAAATCTTGAGCTTGATCGAAACCCTAGAGGTAAATTACATGAGTTGTTACCTAGTCCCCCGCTCCTTGAAACCGCTTTAAAGCCTGCTGACGGGAAGAAACGGGCATAATAAAGTAGAAGAAAGATATGCCCCGTCAACTATTTATTTATTGCCTTTGGCGGTTAGGTCTTCGAGTCGGTTCAGCAATTTCTGCCAGATAGACACAATTCACGTGGCTGTATTTGCCAGCTGGCAACAACGCTATACTTTTAGGTCGGTTTGGCTTTGACGTCAGTTCATTTGCCAGCTGGACGAGTTCACCGACCTTAGACCTTATATGCCAATTTGACAAGCCAACTGGACGCGCGTTGACTATACGCGTCTGACCTTCAAACAGTTGGGAAAGCATGATAAATTGATAATGGACACGGGCCCAATATCTACCTCGGCCTAAGCGGCCCAAATAAAGGTTAATAAATGAGGCCCACCAGAAATATATCACTCTCTTTTCCCAAGAAGAAAGAACAGATCAAGCCTTCCAAATTATCGAAGGATTCAGCTCTACAGCTTCCCTTGAACAACCTAGTCCAACAAGGCAAGGCAAGGCAACAACACGCCCTCAGAAAGCAAGGCTCCCCTGACTAGCAAATCATAGAAGCATGATGATAAATATATGTAAATACCTTTTATGCTATGCTTGGTCCATGGGTTGTACTGGTACAAGCAATAGCACACGATTTCATCCGATGATTTATTGAATTACCAGTACGAAAACACCTCCAAGTTGGTGAAAGTCGCTCATTTCACCGACAGTAAACGATTATTTGCACTTTAGGTTCCCAGTACTTAATTCTGAGAAGTTCTGCCTTCAGAACAGAGTTCAACAGGTTCCCAAATGAAATCAAACATGAAGCCCAAACCTGTCTCATCATGCTTCACAAGTCTATAGGCTTGATTTTGTATTGTCCAACAAGTAATCCGACTGACGAACTAAAACTCCAACCGATTATTGCAGACTTGCAGTAATTGTATAGAAAAACCAAACAAGTGAGCAATGAGAAAGGAACTTTCATTGGCTTGCAGCATAATACTAGCAATCACCAGCTCGAGTGAAATTTAAACACTAATAATAGCTAGTGAATAGCCAATCTTGTCTAAAAGAAAACAGCAGATGCATTTCAGACTGATGATCCATTTGCACGAGTGAATAAAAGCAGTATTTTCAGCTGCACCTGGGAATCGATGCCATTTTTCTGCACTTAATATTTGAGCCTGCCTATCTGCTATTGGATCTCCCATTAGAAGTTCCAAGTTGGATGATTTAAGAGTCCTTTTTCCCATAGGCAGCAACAAGATCATAAGGCGAATCCTCCGGGAATCGAAGAGGACACCATTCTTTTGTTTCCGTCAGTACCACTAGTATCACCTTCACCACCTACTTTTCTTCCTTCTGTTGAATCCCATCCATGGTGAACAAGACAACACTGAAAGGCTGAGGCAAAATTTTGCACAAAAACATTTATCCTTGAAGATCTAGAGCAAACTGTTACAAAGATATAGACTGCATGCACCACTGAAACAAAAACATGATCGGACAG